CCCCAAAACCCCAAAACCCCAAAACCCCATTTGAACCAAAGTATAAAAAGATAGTTAAAATCAAAGTTAATAAGAGTTAAAGCAATAATAATAGCATTATCATGGAACACACTAACAGAAAGTAAGGTGAATTTAGTGCTAGTTTTTCTACTCAACTCTCAATTGGAACTAACGATACCTTAAAAACAGCAAAGCTTAAAGTAAAATAGTCAAACTATGGTAACGATGAAATAATGGAGTATTTCTCTAAGCAGGTGGCTACACAGTGTTCGTTTAATGAGAAAGAGGTTGCTATCACTGATTCATTCGGTTTTGTTGAATAAACGATTGAACTTAATTAGGCTTCAAATAGTAATGAAATCGAATAATCCAACTCGAAAGATGAGGAATATGAAGAAAAGGGTGATAGAAGTTCTAGAAAAACAATTTCAAGCAAAGATGCCCCAATTTCATAAAAGATAGCATTCAAATAGTTAAAATAAGAAAATGCAAGACTATATAAGTGGAAAGAAATGCTAGAAGATTATCCTGAGAAATTGCATGTAAAATTAAAACTTAGATGTAGAAAAGGAATCCCTGATTCTTTTAGAGGTTACGCTTGGTAGATTCTAATTTAAGGATAGAAACATCTCAACAAGGAAAAGTCTCAATATTTTAAATCCTTGCTTGAGCAAGGAGGTGAGCGTAAAACAATCGTATCAATTTTTAAGGATGTATCAAGGACTTTTCCTCAGCATGTATTCTTCAAGGATAAATTTGGAGTAGGCTAGAAAGCCTTATTTTGCGTTTTAAAAGCTCTTTCTATTTCCGAGCCAGAAACAGGCTACGTTTAAGGAATGGGTTACATGGCGGCAGTCTTACTTACATATATGGACATGGAAGATGCGTTTTGTTGTATGATAGGCTTGCTTAAAGGATTTTAAGTGAGAGAAATGTATTTGCCTAAGATGCCTGGACTTTAACGAGCATTCTATATTCATTTAAATCTTATGAAAAAATATCTACCAAAACTAAATTAGCACTTGATTAATGCTAAGTACGAACCAACTATGTATGGATCATAATGGTTCATGACTATATTTGCAGTAGGATTTCCATTTGAACTCACAGTAAGAATATGGGATATATTTATGGTTGAAGGGCGTAAAATCTTATTTAGAGTAGCATTAGCTATCTTCAAATTAAATCAATAAAGCTTGTTGGGCTGTGAACTTGAGGGAATATTTGATGTATTGAGAAACTTTTAGAAATCAATAGATGCTGATTCCTTGATAAAGACGGCCCTAAGTTTCAAGTTCAGCAAGAAATTAATAGATAAATTTGAGAAGGAATTTTATGAAAAGCCTGATAAGGAATTACAAAAGCTCTGTGAAATGTATTGAAATGTAAAAATGCTTTGCTAGTTTTCAATAACCTTATTCTAAAATCTAATAATCATTAGTTTGTTTAATTTCTTAAGTGTCTGTTATTTCAATTCGCTATTAATTGTGAATTTAGTATACATGGGGTTTTGGGGTTTTGGGGTTTTGGGGTTTTGGGG